ACACTGCTCTAGGCCAGTGTTTCTCAACCTTGGCAACTTGAAGATGTCTGGACTTCAAGTCCCAGAATTCCTCAGCCAGCGAATGCTTGCCAAGGTTGAGAAACACTGGCCTAGAGCAGTGAGGGCGAACCTTTTCAACACCGAGTGCCCAAACTGGAATGCCTGTGCATGAGGGCGCCCCGGGGCACCAGAAACCTGAAGACCAGCTGGCTGGCGTTCCTGTCGTGGTTTTGGGGGGCTATTTTCAGGCCAAAAATGCCTGAAAATGGCCCTAAAAACAGCCTGGTTTTTTGGCCATTTTGGGGGGTTGTTCTCCTGTGCTACTGCACCCACCAAGACCAGTTGGAAACCACGCACACCAGAAACCAGAAGAGCAGCTGGTGATGGCGCATGTGCCCAAAGAGAGGGCTCTGTGTACTACAGTGGTGGGTTGCAAATCCCGTTTCAACCAGTACGGTTGGAACAGGGCTGGCAGCGTCTTCATGGATGCGCGCAGAATGTGCGCATGCGTTCAGGCGCCTTCACGATGCTCCAGCTGCTCCGTGGAGTGTCGCGCAGGCGCTGTATGCGCCATGCATGGAAGCCTTTAAACTCTGGTAAGGAGCTCGGGCGGGCAGGCGGGCCCTCCGGAGCACCGTACCGGTACAGTATTCGGTGCTCCAGGCTGGCTCCGGTACCCCCGTACCGTGGCGTACCCCCTGAAACCACTGGCGTACCACCTCTGGCATGCATACCATAGGTTCGCCATCATGGGCCTAGAGACTTCAATTCCCAGAATTCCTGAGCTAGCTATATGGCTCAGGGAATTCTGGGAATTGAAGTCCAGAGGCTCTAAAATTGCCACAGTTGCCCAGCCTAGTCTAGGTTAAGGAGGGAATCAAAGATTTTGAAATGACTCTTCCATTCTCTGTATTCCAGGTTTCTTCTGGCTGTTTCCTGAATTTCAATCTGCCTCATTTGGGCTTGAACTTCAAAAGTGGGTTGTTTTAAACGCAGGCTATTCACCATGGTCAGGACCCTCTCAGAATACTTCCGGAAAAGTTGAAAAGAATTCCAACTCTCAAAAAACAAGGGAAAAATTGGGTTGAAGGAGTAAAATGGGTGTAATTGGGAATCCTTTTGCTCTTTCACCTTCCTGACCCCCTAAATTAAAACAAAATAAAGCCAAGACCTTTTGCTTCTATCCTTGTTAAGAGGTATCTTGGGCATCCTGAGGGAAATTTTGTCTAGCGGTTAATTCACCCAGTCTCACAGGAGACTGGGGATTCTAATTCCACCTTGGCACAAAAGCAAGCTGGATGATTTTGGCCCAATCACCAGGAGACTGGGAATTCTAGTCACACCTTAGGCATGAAAGTCAACTGGGTGACCCTGAGCCAGTCATTCTCTCTCAGCTCAACCCACAGGGTGGTTGCTGTTGTGGAGAAAACTATCACCTCTTACAATACTAGACAACACGGCATCAACAGTAGAGACTTTCAAGTTTCTAGGTTCTATCATATCAAACGTCATCCAAAAAGCACAACAAAGAATGTTCTTTCGGCCGCAACTCAGAAAGCTCAAACTGCCCAAAGAGCTGCTGATTCTGTTCTACAGAGGAATGAT